TTCACTTATTGAATAATACAAATTATTTTTTCACATTGGTGGAGGCATCAGGACTTTAGTGATGCTTAGGTGGGACATGGCTAAATAAATTTTGGGTAGCGCTTCCCTAAATTGGCCACTCATCCCCATCGTTGTCACAATGCCATAGCAATGATGCAAAGTGCTGTAGCTGAAAAATTCCACAGGTCTACAATTTTCCTTCATTTAACATTACGTACAGAAGACATAAACATTTTTCTAGTCGCAAATCTCTAATTCAAATTATAAATGCACATCGGCCTTGTTATTTACTATCCATTTTCTATTAATATATCGTTACAAAACAACGCATTTGTGACATTTGACCGAAACGTTGTTAGCATGTTGTGGGATGTTTGCAAAAATGTGTTTACAACTTCTATCTAAAGTTTAAAAAAACATTGTAGCAATATACGAGGAAAAGTGAAAATTATCAGCACTCTTGTCCATGCTATGGCGAAAGTGCGTTTTTTTTACTTGCAATCGTGTATATATATATATATATATATATATATATATATATATATATATATAGAAGAGAGAGAGAGAGAGAGAGAGAGAGAGAAAGAAAGAAAGAAAGAAAGAAAAATATATCGAAACTATATCGAGTCTAATTCATTACCTCTTCGTCACCGAGAACCGTTGGTACAGTTGGTATAGCGGTTTGCCTCCTATCATAACTGTTCGGGTTTCACTTCTCGGTAGTCGATGCGCACTGCTGATGCAGCCCCAAATGTAGGACGAAACGGCCGTCAAATGCTTTCTGTATTCTGTTGAAGTTTTTTCTAGACTCTATGAATTACTTAATTATGATATATGTATCAAATAAGTGGTGCAGTTCGATTTATATTAGAATGAATCATTCATACAAAAAGTTGATTAGTAATGTTAATGATATAAAACGGCGAATTCCTTTCGCAAACAAATTTTAAAAAAGCATTAACCTACAAATCACTCGATAAATGTTATGATACTTTTAAAAAATTATATAGTGTATTAGGTCTTTCTTTAATACGCAAGTTCTTTCAACTTATATCATTAATTGTACTAATGTACTTTGTGTATGAATTCACATGATTCATTGTAACATATATATATATATATATATATATATATATATATACCAATTTGTGACTGGTAAGGATGACTCCAAAGAGAATATTAAACCAAAGAGAGCTCAATGTAAACTACAGAACATTATAGTAATAATAACTCAAGAAAAAAAATAGATCCCTTTCAGATATAATTTATTTCAGGAATATTTTCATATTCATCTCTTCAAACCGAAGGTTCTTAATAAATGGAGACAATTCATCAGGACATATATATATATATATATATATATATATATATATATATATATATATATATATATATATATACCTTCACTATTAGCCCTTACTGTGCTTCTCTCTGTCTGTTACCCTCTCTAAAGTTTTCATTTACCTCTCACATTCGTCCCCCACTCTCATACATAAACTCTCACTAAATTTTTTTTTTTTATTCCCGGAGTTATTTTTTCTGATTTATTTTTGAATTTGTAGGTCTGATGAATTGGATCGTAATTACGATTCCAATGTAATAAATTATAACCATGGAATATTAATGTTTAAGCCTTTTTTTATATATATATATATATATATATATATATATATATATATATTTTTTTTTCACTTCCTGTTAATCTAGTATATCAATTTCTGAATAAGTTGTGGACCATTGTGCTCGGAAGTGGGTGTCAACGACTTATTCGAAAATTTGGTAAAAAAAAAAAAAAAACGATAACAAATTAAACTTCTCTGTTCTTTTACAGCGAATATCTTTTTTCTTGATTTTTTTAATTTGATCGTGAAATTTAGCCGGAAGCATCTCGAGGCAGAGGATTACCGAATAAGAGCCACAGGTTACACGGATATGTGGGTAAGATAACTATTAACCCTAGACGTGAACAGGTTAATATTGTAGTGATCCCGAAAACAGCCAGTTGGGGGTTGGTTACATAGATCAGCGTTCGTGGAAAGAAACTACTCGAGTGGAGTGGAGTCAGTTATGTGCTATGCGTGATACACGCTTGAGGCGAACATGTATCTTTCTCACCAATAGAATACAAAAGGTGGTTTGCTACAATATGTGGCATAGCGGCTCTTATTTGCGAAGGTTACTTTGTATGATAATAGCCATAGAGCAGTGAAAGGTGTTGCAGAATAGAAAATAATTTGTCACCTACAACGATTCAGAAACGTTTTTAGACTCTATCGAGAGTGGAAAATGGAGACTGGGAGGCTCTCGACGATATATAGCAGCAGTATCCTATTTTGGGCCTGATCTAGCTTTTTTTAAAGTTAGAGGATAACAGAAGTGAGGTACTTGCTAGAACGGAAAAGGTAACAGACTATTTCCCTAGCATATTTAGCGATCGATCGTGTGTACGTTTTCCACTTGACGCCTGGGTCCGAATTATCGCTCAAGACACGGGCCTCCCTGAGGGAAGATCAGTTTATCACGATTGGTGAATTTTCTGCGTACAATCGGTGATGGTGGAAGATCACTAGTTTGGTTTTTGTTGTACTGGATGTGACCACCCAGTTCCCCCCCATTGAGCTGTAGAGCTAAGTCAGGGGAGAGATAAGCTTACGACTGAGTAGTGAGTTCGATCCTCACTGGGTGCTCCATACTTTCGGCCTTATCGCACATCTAAGCTATGATACAGAATAAAATAATCGTGCTGGTTCAAAGGTTTGAGTCCTAAGAAGAAAAATAAACGTGACTGATGCATGGTGCACGAAATAAGCACTGTGTTAGAAGGAAATGGCAATAAATTATTTAGCCGAAGTTAACCTTGTATACGGTACAAATGACAACCTTCTTTAAGGCAAATATTATTAAAGACAGTAAATATTTTGTGTCAGTTACTTTTACCAAACTCACCAATTGTCTCTATCTACCCTGATGATGACTTAATAAAGTCGAAAGGTACGACCATATTTCTTGTACTTTCTACCGAAAAGAACTTCAGGCAATGTCTGACGGAATGGCCTCCTTGTCTGAAAAGGATTATTCGTAATTTGGAAAAGTAGATTATTAAAATTAATCGATACAAATATCTCTTGTCTTTAATCAGTCAGTTATGTGCTATGCGTGATACACGCTTAGGCGAACATGTATCTTTCGATACATAACTGACGAGGAAGATTTTCTCACGCAGTAGGTTGCCATTTCTTTCTGTGGTAGACCAGTTGCTATCCAAGGCTATAGAACCCGGTTTTTTTTTTCTGATATTTACCCATAACTGGGGTGGTGGGGAGAGAAGAAGAGGATTCATACCTTTTCCAAAGTTATTACCACGTAAGTGAAAGTAATGGATTTGACTGGAATTCGAACTCGGCTCTCCGATTCCTCAGTTCGAGCCGCTATGCATTACTCTACCGTATTTCCCTCAAAGGACATTTGCTGCCTAAATACGCAGATGACTACCTCCATGTATTTTGCAAGTCTTTTTTTATCAGAAAAAGATAAGGATATAAAGTAGCGTCATATCTAGTACAATCTCAACTTAACATGTAAAATGGATACTACTATTTTAATTTGCTATCACTTATTTTTGCATGCAAACCTTTATATATATTCTGTGTTGTACCAAAACGAAAATGCTGTCAGCAATTGTCATCCCGGTCGGAAATTTTCAAGAGAAGCCTAAGGGTTCAAACAAACTTTCCACGGGTATGTCTGCTTCCAGGAAAATAATAAACATGTAGCCGAGAAAATAATTTGTAAAATAGCAAGCGTACCACATTAAATAGATTCCATTCCAGTGGAAATTCGAAGAGAATAAGGAACTTTTTTTGACACTTGCATTTGGTATAAAAGACAAAATGAGGGAGAACGAATATTATGCTAATCTCCCGAGTGGTTAGCTGCTAGAAAATGCTGAATTTTATTTGGGCTCAAGCATCGACTTCAGACGCCGGGGGAAATTCACAACGACCGAAAAAAAGAAAAGAATCGGAAATGTTGTTAAAAACGATTTGAATTATGGCCTACAATCTATTGTTAACTGGAGCAAGAAACGTTTTGTGAGGTCAGTGAACTCTCGTTGCCACTTTTGTGACGCCAACGAATACTCGTTTTTACTTTCGTAATTCTCGTTGTAGTAGAGACTTTGTAATCGCAGATACAACTATAGTAACGCCGTTGAAAAATACTAGTGTCAGACGCCTTCGAATATCACTCGCACTAATAGTACTTGCTCGATAAAATTCGCTCGAAATGTAACCACCAAATAGTGATCCAAACAGAGAATAGTGTAGAGAAAAAGAATAGAGAATAGCGGTCCGTATAGTAATAGAGGATAGACTAGAAATAGAGATCGTTAGTCGTCAGATACTTCTTATATATATATATACGTTTCCTCTATAGTCACGTGGTCTACATAATTCAATAAAGGGATCGCTTGTGCTTGCTCACTAGCAATCTATGTTCAAACTCAAGTGTCGACAGCGACATTTTATTCCTATATAGCAATGTGTAAAACTATAGAAAACATGTAAACCTAACTTCCCTCTACGTTCAATCATATCCCAAACCCTCACTCCAGTTTGTCAACTTACCAAAGTTATAAATCAACTAATTACACCATATATACTTCTGAAGATTGCATGAAACTCCAAGTTTTGTTAACGGTGAAGGATAATATGGATATTTATTAATATACAGTAGCGTCCAAAACTAAGGGACAAAATTTTAAAACCTAATATTTGTTAGAAATAACAACTGTGAAAAGCTGAAATTTTGACAACTGGTAGTCGTTATCATCCATAATAACATACTAAAATTTGAATCATTTGCATAGGATAGAAAAAGAATTATAACAATTATTTATTTATTTTCAAATTTGGAACGTCCAAAAGTAAGGGACAAAATTGAGAAAAACAATGTAAACGGCAAAAAACAATAAAAATACATG